GGCACATTTACACAATGATAGAAAGGTAGAAATTCTTAATTATCCCTCCAGCTTTAGAGGAAGTGGTGGTGGAGACGTTAGGAAAAAAACCCAAGTGAATTGTTTAAAAGGAACAAAGCTAAGGAAGGCACTAGCCCATTCAAAAAGTAGAAGATCACTCACAAGAACTTAATCCATATTTGTTACATGAATACCAGCCACTGGAGGACCTTCCACCGAGTATATAAAACTCTCAGTCACTAGAAAGTGAATTTACTCTGCCTTCAGGAAATAATGACTAAACTTCCAGACAATGCTGTTGTTTTAGTTATTTAAACAAACAAACGAGGAATGGACTAGATATGTAGATTAATTTCTACTTAAACCAGGCAAAAATACGAGTATATGGCACTCAATTTGAATATCTTGTTAAGGAAACTAGGGTGGATGTATCAGTTATCTGAGTTTATTAAGAGTTCAGGCCAGTTACAGAAAGACAAAAATGGATATTAGACATAGAGCAATGGCTTATCAGACTACAATCCACACCTCCAGAGAAGTTAGGAAATAAGGAGGACCATAAGAGAGACATACATGGTGCCCCTGTGAAGGGGAAAGGGACAAGAGCCCCTGAACAAGTTGGGAGCATGGGGGGAGGGGGAAGGGAGGTAGGAAAAGAGGAGGGGAGAAGAGGAGGGGGAGGAGAAAGTAAGGAATCAAGAAGATTGAATAGGGAGATGAGTAGGAGAGCAAGAAAAGAGACACATCAATAGAGGGAGCCGTTATAGGTTTAGAGAGAAATCTGGCACTAGGGAATTGTACAGAGATCCACAAGAATGACTCCAACTAGGAATTTAAGCAATAGTGGAGAGGCTACTTTAAATGCCCTTCCCTTATAATAAGATTGATGACTACCTTAAATATCATCCTAGAGCCTTCATCAGTAGCTGATGGAAGCAAAAGCAGAGATCCACAACTAAGCACTGAGCCAAATTCCTGGAATCCAGTTTCAGAGATGAAGGAGTGATGAGCAAAGGGGCCAAGACCATGCTGGGGAAACCCACAGAAACAGCTGACCTAAGCAAGTGGGAGCTCATGGACTCTAGACTGATAGCTGGGGAACCAACATAGGACCAAACCTGGCTCCCTGAATGTAGGTGTCAGCTAGGAGGCCTGGGAAGTCTATGGTGCCTCTGGCAGTGGAACCAGGATGTATCCCTAGTGCATGAATGGACTTCAAGAATCCATTTCCCAGGGAAGGATATACCCTTAGCCTAGAGACATGGAGGAGGGCCTAGGCTACCTTACCCCATATGATGTAACAGATTTTGATAATCCTTCATGGAAGGCCTCACTTTCCCTGGGGAGTGGATGTGGGATAGGGTGGAGGGGTCAGTGGGGGGGGGGCTTGGGAGGATGGGAGTGAGAGGGAATTGTGATTAATATGTAAATAAGATTGTTTCTAATTTAAATAAATGTATTAATAAAAAAAGAGAGAGAGTTCAGGAGTTAAGAAGACTGGCTCCTCGTCTAGAGGTCCTGACTTCAATTCCCAACAACCCCATGGTGGCTCACAACCATCTATAACTGTAGTTCCATAGGATCCAATGTCCTCTTCTTGTATACAGATGTACATACAGACAAAACTCCTATATACACGAAATAAATACATATATTTTTAACTTTTGGTTTTTCTGTGTGGCTCTGGCTGTACCTGGACTCTCTCTACAGATTAGGCTGGCCTTGAACTCAGGGATCCAACTTCCCTAAAGTGTGCATTTGATATCACACCCCACTAAAATAAATATAAGTACAATTGGAAACATAAATAATAGCAGGTTAAAAAAAGAGGCACCTTTTTTTTTCTTGCATAATACAGTGTAAAAACATATAATCCAAGCCTGGAATGGGGATCCACAGTTATCGGAAACTTGCTCTCGCTGTTCTGCAATTCTTAGACCATGACTTTCCCTGCTAAGTATGCTCTCCGAGCACACAAAGCAGCTGTGTAGCTCTACTCACAGCCAAGCTCCCAGCAGCTGCTGTAACGAAAAAAGACAGGAAATAGCCATTCTAATACTTACTGTAACCTTTCTTCCCATCAGCCCTTTTGAAGATCCTGAGAACTTGTATTGGTATCTTTGGCTGTTTGTACAGGAACTTTTCTAGCCTCTACACAACCATTTGTAAAGGCCTTCTGGCTATAAGTATTTACATTTATCATAAACTTGAGGAAATACATTTTAGAAGTTTAACTCCACTTATAGCAAGTTCATGTTTACACAAAAGAAAATAGGAAGAAAGCACTAGCCGTCATTTGGGGACTTGCTGGCCACATTTCAAACATCCCACATGATTCTATTTATGAGTCACGACATAAGCACAAATACTTGAAGAACTTCAGTGTTCTTCTGATGTTTTAGTTTAAAAAAATTCTAAAACAGGTGACAAAGCACTTGGGAAGCAGGGACAAGAGAATCAGGAGCTCAAGGTGATAACCTTGACAATGATGAACTATATAGAGAGTTTGGGGCCAGCCTTGGATACATGAAGCCTTGTTCAAAATGGGGGATTCCAAGCTGGGTATGGAGGTTCACTCCTGTAATTCCAACAGTTGGGAAGCTGAGACAGGAGAACTGTGAGTTCCCATCAAACCTGGCCTAAAAAATGAGACTGTCTTAACCCAACACACACACACACACACACACACACAAAGGAAAAATATTGTTAGCAAATTCTAAACATAGCAGACACGCTCAGCTTTTTGTGTCTAAGCCCTAATTGGATTGTTCAGTAGGGAACAGCACATTCAGAAGATCACACAGAATAACATCCAGACCTGGAAGCTTTGTGCTTAAAGTGCTGTATTAAGACAGGAATAATAGGGGTATAACCATAGAGTTAGCATAGGTCCCGTAGTTTAAAGACATCTAAAAAACAAATCTCAAGCAGGTATCATGTAAGAAGATGTTGTAGGAATGATTCTTTTTAAATTTTTTGCATATTGACTATCTGAATGGGGCTCATCTTTAGAAGTGAGGGCACCTGTCTGGAGAGCAGTGAGGTTTTTAGAGTGAGATGCAGAGGACACTGGGAGTACACAGGACAGTCTTGCTGTCTGTGAATCATTATCTCCTTAAACCCCATACTCCAATCCCAAACCGTGGCAAAGAACAAAGAGCAAATACAGGACTTTTTTTTTGTTTTTGTTTTTGGAGACAGTGTTTGTTTGTGTAGCCCTCGTTGTTCTGGAACTAGTGCTGTAGACCCAGCTGGCCTTGAACTCACAGAGATTGCATGCCTCTGCCCCCTGAGTGCTGGGATTAAAGGCGTGTGTCACTACTGCCTGGCCTCATACAGGATCTTATGTGTAAATATGCACAGAGGATTTCTTGCAATTGCTTTTGAAGCGATGCTGGACTGGGGTTGAAAAGACCTCCATCCAAATGGTTATGCTGCATATCTTTCAGTGAGAATTTAAAAATCAAAATAATTAACCCTATTAAACATATACATGACACCACAAAGAATTATTTGTTATTAGATGAATGTATGTTGTCACTGAGGTGCTTTTCTGTTGGTGGAGACAGGGATTTCCTCCTCTCATCTTCTTTGAGACAAGTTCTCACATGTAGACCTGGTAAGCCTGGAATTTGATACACAGACTAAATCCTTCTGCCTGTCTTCCTAGTGCTAGGATTAAATGCCATCACACCGAGCCCATCTGCAAAATTCATTAGCACTTTATGTACAACACAGGAAGACCCTAGCCAAACTTTAAAAAAAATATTTTATGTGTATGGATATTTTGTCTGCATATATATATGTGCACCACGTGCACGTCTGGTGCACACAGAGGCCTGCAGAGGAATTGGAACTGGAGTTACAGATATTTGTAAGCCAACATGTGGGTTCTGTACCACTCGACAAAGAGCCGCAGGTACTCTTAAGCACTGAGCCTTCCCTCCAGTACCCTGGCTCTGAGCAAACTTTACACTTTAGTCACTCACTGATTTTTATTGATTAGGTAGTAGGAACAACTAGATATGTAAAGAATTTTACAAGATTTCTGTCCAGGAGGAACACTAAGTTCATTGTTGTCCCCAGCAACTGAACCTCAAGGGCTCTTCTTTCCATGGCCCACCTTTCTTTATCCAGCTCTAAAATCATGTCTACCTGAGCTCCCTAAACCGATTACCAGTTTTGCAAAAACCTCTTTCCTCCAAGCAGGAATTCAAGAAGGAGGCTCGAAATCTTCTGGGTGGATTTGGAAGGCTCATCATCTAACCTGTGTCTTACCAATCAACCCCTTGGTCAGCCAGTGAGATCCAGGTCCACATACCGCATCTGGGAGGGGCTGTGCTAGCTAGCCTGGGAGTTTATAATTAAGTTCAGTTCAGTGTGTGTGTGTGTGTGGGGAGGATGGAGGGGGAGGGAAATCGCATATAATTACAAAGTTCTATTGCGGAGTGCGGGCCGGGCTAACAGGCAGAGGTAAGAGAAGAGGAAAACGCTTTCCGCATTCTTAAACAAAAGTCGCACAGAAGTTCCAGGAGGAACCAGGGAACGAGGTGTGCCGGGGCCTCTTTCGTTTCACTGTCGCCATCCTCAGGTTTGCTGGGTTGCGGAGGCCCAGGTGGAGGCGTGCGGCCACTGTCCCCTGGTCCTTTGGGTCTGGGCCGCAGTCCCGGGGCGGGTTCCGAGGACCCGCTGCCAGCGCGCACGGAAGTGCGCTCGGCCTTCTCCGGTGGGAGGCCACCGTGAGCGCGACTTCCTTTTTCGGCGGCCGGGCCGGGCCTCCCTGGCTCCTCCTTCCCTCCCTCTTCCCCCAGCCCGAGCAGCCGGGCCCGAGGTCCGGCTCTCGCCTCGCCAGTACTCAGCGCCAGCCGCCGCGCTTGCGAACGACCTAGCCGGAGTCCCGCGCCGCGCGCCGCGCCCCCTGGGTGGCCGCCCAGCTCAGCCTCTCGCCTCCCTACCGCCCGGTCGCCCTTGGCCGCAAGCGCGCAGCACAGCACAACAGTTCGGACGCTCGCAAGCAGCGGGTCGCCGGCACCGGGCATCGGGACAGACACTGTAGCCTTTGGGCTCCGCGCCCCGGCGATGGCTGCTCCCGGGTGGCTGCGGCTGTGCCCTCGCCCCCGTGGCCTCCTGCTGCTGCTGCTGCCCGGCCTTCTGTTGCCCCTCTCCGGAGCCTTCAATCTGGACGTCGAAAGCCCTGCCGAGTACGCCGGCCCTGAGGGAAGTTACTTCGGATTCGCCGTGGACTTCTTCGCGCCCAGCACGTCCTCGTAAGTGGCCGCGCTTGTGTCCATAGGCGCCCCCTCCCCCACCGCGCGCCCCCACCCAGCCTATCCGCACCCTTTCGTTGGCTCCACCAAACCGGCCTACCCCCTCCATCCCGCGGCTGGCTCAGGTCTTGCAGAGATGAAACATTTGTGGGGATGACCTAGCTTGACACTCACCATCCACTTTAGCCGTGTCCCCCAACTTCTTCTGATTGGCTGGGGACACGGGGTTGGGGGGAGAGCTTTGAATGAGCTCTGTTAAACATCCAGGAAAAGTGGGGAATCAGTACAGGCTGCTTCCACAGACTTTTGGCTTCTCTGTCATTCTGTGACTTGCCCCAGAACTTCATTTTCTCACGTCCCAGTTAGCCTCTTTCTAGTCTGTTTCGCTCTCCGAAACCAGCCCTTCAGACTCCCCCCCCCCCTTAGTCTCCTTTTCACTCCTTTTCTAGACACTTCGCTGACTAAAGTGATCACATTGTTGCCTTAAATTTCAAAGGACTGTGAGACCTTTGCGTATTTGAGGTCCACCAGATGAATGGAATGTGTCATCTGTTCCTTTTCTAGTCGACTATTTAGGTCACTGTTCAGAAAGAACCCGGGTGTTTGCTGAGTTTTCACTCGCTGCAGGTCACTTCAATATTGAATTCAGCAGTTCGTGTAGGCTTTCAAATTACCCTCGTCTTGTGTTGCAATGTACCTGGGGATTTGCAGCATATATTGTCATTTTTAGATTAAAAGTTGTCTTTGACTCAATGCTGGGCTGGCATCATTCTTACTCCTGCATGTTAGTGTTAGAAACACAGATTTAATGGATGCTTTATTATGTTTGGCACATCATTTTTGAAAGGAACTGTTCCTATTGTTATTTCTCAGTGTTCACAAGTGGATATATATATTTGGCAAGATGTTTGTTTTGGGGAGAGACACTACACAATTTTTATGGTCAGTACTTAGGTAGGACCATTTTCCTGATAATGCTTAATTTGAAGGTGGTCTAAATATCCGTCTGTGATTTATTAGGACTGTCTTCAGGATTTATTGTCATAATATTCCTGAATACTGAGTGTTCCTGAGTAACACTGGTACCAGTCTTTAAAGAAACACATACCTTAGGTGAAGTTAGCAAAAAGTAGGCAACATATACCTCATGACTTTATTCACAACCACAGTGCCTTCACTGAGACCTGAGCTCACATTTTCCAGAAAGGTAGAAGCACCAACTGCAGGCCACATTAACCCCTTCATCTTGATGTGATTCATCTCTTTTGGGGGTGTAGTAGAGCTTAGGATCCGCCCCAAGGGCTCAGGCTACTGATTCTGTGCTGTACCTCTGAGCTATATCCACACACCTTCCTTCTTTTCTAGGTATTTTTAAGTGTTTGCTTTTCACATCATGGGCATTCTAGTGGCTCCCAGGGTGCATCGTTTGATTTAATTGTACAGAAATTCTGACTGAAGATACAGTCTCTGCCTTACATCACATCAGGCATCACTGTTTAAATAATTCAGAGTTGATGGGATATTGTATAAATGCTCTTAATTATTTTATTGTTATTAATGTTGTTGTTTGATTCTGTACTCAATGGCAAAATTTTGGTATCCAAGGTACATGACAGGCTGGTAACGCTTTTAAATGCTTTTGCCTTGGAAAACAGCAGTATTGAACTGTTAGTGATATTTGCTATTGCTGATTGCAGGGAATGTGACTAGTCTTTGGAAAACCATGTTGCCAAAGGATATGCTATTATCTCATGCATGCATTATCTCATGCATGGATCTTAATAGCAATATGTTGTGGACTTGAGGGATTCCATATTGTATTTTGAAATAGTCAGCAGCAACTTTGGTACCAAGAGACCAGAGCTCTCTGTCTAGCCTGAATTAAAAAGTAGAAAGCAACTTTGAGGTGTCCCCTCCAAATACATCCAAACAAAAATTTATACTTATTACACTTATTGACTTTTTCAGATTAAATGAAGAATATTACAGAATTATGCTTAATCTTAAAACAAAACAACAAAAATCAAACAAAATGAAAGGCAGTGGTGGTGTACACTTTAAATCCCAGCACTCTGGAGGCAGAAGCAAGTTGATCTTTGAGTTTGAGGCCAGCCTGGTCTACATAGCAAGTTCTAGAACAGCAAGGGCAACACAGAGAAACCCTGTCTCAAAAAAAAAAAAAAAAAAAAAAAAAAAAAAGAAAAGAAAAGAAAACCCAAGCAAACAAAATTATGGTTAATCTTGTTAAAGGCACACCTAAATTTAACAAGCAGTGGAGACCACAGAACTGTATTATCAGTTGCATAGACTGTTATTTTGTGTTATCATAAACTTTTAAAGAAAAAGTATATAATCAAGTGTTTGTTAATGAAAGAGCCCCCCCCCCTTGTGAAAAGTATTAGATTAGGGAGGAGAGCAGCAGATTATGTTTATTTATGATTATTTCTGTTTCAAGGACCTAAATACCGAAGAATGGTTTAACTTCTCATTTTCCTTATTATAGAAGATTATGATTGAACTATTTTCATATTGTTGTGGGAATGAATGCATCAATACATATCTATCTATCTACCTATTTATTTACTTATTATTATTATTATTGTTATTATTTTGGTTTCTCTGTGTAGTTCTGGCTGTCCTGGAACTCGTTTTGGAGACCAAGCTGGCCTCAAACTCACTGAGATCTATCTGACCTCGGCCCCTTAAAGGCGTGAGCCACCACTGCCCTGCCTCATTGATATCTATTTTTAAAAAAAATACTAAAGCAAAACTGCTGGGCATTGTGGTGTACCTGAATCTTAGCGCCCGAGAGGTAGAGGCTGGAAGATTAGGAGTTCAAGGCATACCTCATCTATGTACTGAGTTCCAGGCCTGCCCAGGTGACTTGCTTCCTGTCTCAAAACACAGAGAAACTCTAGTTTCAAGTTGTTTTCTCCTTTAGAAACAACATTATAATAGCTTGCAGGTCATTTAGCCTAGATTAGCCCACGTTAACTCATTTTGTCTAAAAATGAATTCTATTTGCATCAAGAGATGTCAGTTGCACCTCCGTTTCTATTAATGGAACCCACTTTTTCTCTGTTGCCCTGGAGATCATTTCATATTCCTCCCTCTCTCTTTCTATTTTACTTTGTCTCATACTACACTCCTCGAGATTAGTCACTGCTTAGTCATTGGGCAAAGAGTTTCTGACCTCTTCCTTGTTAATGCTTCCCTTGCTCCTATCTCTGCTCTCTGCTTCTGTTTCCTACTTGAGCCTGGGTCTGGGCAGCCAAGAGTATCGTTAATCACTCTGTCATTTGGCTACTAGACCTGCAACAGGCCTTATAAGTTTCAACTGGTTTTATATTTCCGAAACATTGTTTTTTGATCTTGATATTCTGTTGCTAAATTCTCTCAGCAGTAGTTCCATTGGCCGAGAAAAGCCAAACCTAGATTAAGGCCTTCAGTGGTTACTGCTTTTTAAAAATTTCACTGTTGTCGTCTTTGTCAAAATATCTTAGAAAATGACTAAATGTGCTGGCACCTGAAATCCCAGCACGCAGGAGCCTGAGGAAGGAGAGGATTTTCACACATTTGAAGCCAGCTTAGGCTATATATTGAGTTCTAGGCTGGCTGACTGGCTACAGAATGAGACCTGTTTTCACCCCCCTCAGCCCCAGAAAAAAAGACTTCAGCATATTTTCATAAACTTGAATGTGACTGTTACTGTGTTGGTTAATTTTTCCCATCATAAATAATACATATGCATATACTATAGTGTTTATTATGTGGAAAGCACCTCCTACATCTGTTACTTCTGATTAAGACCATAGATTTATTGGGCAGATGTGGTGTATGCCTTAATTCCCAGCACTTGAAAAGCAGAGGCAGGCATATTTCTGTGAGTTCCAGGGGGAAATGTATGAAATTTGGTAGTTACTTCTTCCATTTTACTTTGTTTGTAGAGCAAATCTGAAACCTGAATTATACCTCAACTGTTTTATACACATTTCTTTTTATATACACACATAGTCTTTTTTTTCAGGAGTTCCTTTTGGTGTGGACTCATTGGTAATTCTGGAGTCAGCTACATATATGAAACATGCTTTATCTTGATAAGGTCGGTGCTGAAAGCAGCCAAATAACTTAGCTCATTTGGAAAGTTTGAAAATGTACTTGTCATTGCTTGGCCAGCTGCCCTGCTTGGTAGCCGGACTCCCATTATGTGAAGCAACTACCCTTCCTGTACTGCCCTGGGTAGGAAGTGCATCTGAAGGGCACCCTCTCCAGACTGTCTGGTGCTTTTCTCATCTTTCTCTGTTTTCCTTCACATAGCTTGTCTTCCACCCTTTACTCCTTTCCCCCCTTTTCCCTTCACCCTTCTTTTTTTGCTGCTTCTCAGTATCCTCCCACGTCTTGGCACCATATGAATAGCACACTCACTTCTGGAGTCCCAAGGAGTCATTGATGGGAGTAAGTCCAATTATCTCAAAGCATCAGTGAAGCTGTGGCTCTTGATAATGTTCTTCTTGGGCATGTGTTTTGGAGTGAGATGGAGTCTGTGAGGAGAAAGTTAAAGGCATGTGGATCTTATGTTGCTTAGCTTCCAAATCTACATGTCCTCCTATGAGGTCTTATCACTCCACGCCAACAGGCTCCCCACCTGTTCACTCTGCCGAGAAATGCTGTGAGCCAGCTTTCCCTCTTCAGAGTCAATTACTTGAGCAAAGAAAAGCTCCTTTGAAAGCAGATTTTAATTTTCACTTGCTATTTCATTAGGAAATAGCTTATTAATTACCTCAACCGCTGTTTGGAATGTTAATGGCACTATCTTGTATTATTCTTAAGCTTCAAACATTTTAAGTTTCCACTTATCTACCAACCACCTCAGAAGTCATTTCTTTTAAGTAGTGACAGAACATAGTACCTCTGTCACAGAGAACGGAGAACAGAGATTTCAAGTGACTCCTCAAGTGACCCCTCAGCTGGCTAGCCATGCTTGTGAGGCGTCCCCTCCT